AGTGTGTAAACCTGGCGATTCACAGACCTGTACCCCTGGGGATAAAAAGATATTATATGTTTATAAAAAATAAAATTAAAAAAATAATAATAAATAAATAAATAAATATTAAAAAAATATATATGCAATATCTAGTGGAACATCAATCAACATTGTGGCAGCTTTACAATACTTTGTGCTGTATTAAAAGAAACATGGCAGTTGGAATATTAAATTCTGCTTTCAAATAAAAAAAAAAAAAAAAAAAAGAGGGCCACCTCCGAGGAGCCACATTCAACCCAGTATAGATCATGAGACCCTGCGCCTTGAGCCTGGTACTGGGATTGGGCGAGACTTCTGGGGATCTTGGGAGGAGGTGAGGTTTTTTTTTTTTTGTGTGTGTGTGTGTGTTTTTTTTTTTTTTAATGGAGAGATGTGAATATTGGGGCCAAAGGGTGGACTATAATGGATTTGACCACAAAAATGGCCTCAATTCTCCGCCCCTCCCTTTACTCACGCCCTTTGTAATGTGACTTTGATGCTCCTATCACCAAGTTGAGGGGTTTATCTCCTCCCCTCACTTTGGATCTTGTTGCCCTTGTGTCGTGCTTTGGCCAACGGGTTGTGTCGGACAGTACACTGGTTCTTTTTTTTTTTTTTTTTAAGATTTTATTTATTTGATAGAGATCACAAGTAGGCAGAGAGAGGGAAGCAGGCTCCCTGCTGAGCAGAGAGCCTGATGTGGGGCTCGATCCCAGGACCCTGGGATTATGACCCGAGCCGAAGGCAGAGGCTTAACCCACTGAGCCACCCAGGCGCCCAGCACACTGGTTCTTGACTATGCTTACCACATAGCTAAGCCCCAGTATCCTCCTGCAGGATCACAGGGTGTAGGGACAAGTTGTCCCAGGCCATCCTGGACCAGCTAGTTCTCTTCCAAGCAGGTGGCAGGCCACAGACAACATGAGCAAAGACCAGCCAACTAAGACCAGCCCAAATGGCCAAATCACAGAATTGTTAGCTAAGTAAATGATTACTGTTTCAGGTTACACAACTGGTTGTCATACAATACTTGTTATGTATTTATTAGTATTATTATGACAACAGAAAACAGATACAGTTACTAATAACAGTTGCTGAAACAGTTACTAATTACAGCTACTATTGACACAGCTGACTCCTTTGAGAAAATTACCAGAAGAAATGGTACAAAACCCAAATGGCTCTCCATTTTTATCCAAGCTGTAAACAACGACTATGCCCTCATCATTTTGTAAATTTCAGAGCAGTAAAAGCTCAGTTATAACCTTAGTAGCTACATTAACAAATTACAAAAAAACAAAAAAAAAAACCCAAAAAACCAAAAAATAACCCAGCCAAATTATACAGAAATGAAATTTGAGTTGTGGGCTTGGGGTAATAAGCTAAGAATATTAGACAGTAAAAGATCAACACATCATATTAATGCTGAAATATAGAAAGATAACGATGGGGAATGAGTCCCCAGACCACACGTTCATGGGCCTGTGTTAACATCTGATAGCACGCACAAAGTAAAAAGTAGCACCAGAGGAGACATGTGAAAATAAAAATAAGCTTAAAACCATTTCAATTCAGACTGGATTAAAATGAAAAAGTTTGGGTTATCCCGCAATTTACTGAGAAAAAGATCTTCAGGCAAATAAATCTTGTTGGCACAAGTACTGTAAGAATTCAGAGCATGAGGCACATGATTCATCACCGCAAAAAGATGAGAATGACCAGGCTGTGCTTAGTCTAATCCTTGAGCATGATTCTGTGTTTTCATTTACAAATGTTCTGCATCTTGTGATCTAATGGACGAGTTTCCTTAAATCTTTGCTATTCAGTCTCCACGGTTTAAAAGAAATTGTCCTTACTTCCCAAGGTTGTAACTTAAAACGTGAAGGCAAACTTCAAGGTCAGATCAAATAGGTATATTATAGCTTTGTCTATTCGAGTGTGTGTCATGGAACATTTTAGAAGATGTAAAGGACGACTGGAAAGGAAGCTGAATCTGTTCATGAGCCTCATGATGACTGGCCCCCGTCTGGGATCTCTGTGGTCTTAGTATCACTATCCTGCCCAGCACAGACACTGTGAACTCACTTGCATGCCTGAAAAACATCCCAGACCATGCGTATGGACTTCCACTGTCCCGGCTAGATCCGTCTAACAGAAATGTTTGCAGATTCATTCTCAGAAACTCTGGGAAGTCTCCTGCCTCCCCTGAAGTTACTACCCAGCAGCAACCCCTCTGTGGGTACTCCCTTGCTTTTGCCTCCTCTACCTCTTTTCCCCAAACTCTGTGCCCTTTGTCCTCCCAGCTTCCTCCATGAAAATCCTTTAGCAGCACTGCCTTTAAGGAAGTCTGGTTTTCTCCCATGCATTCTGCTCTGCCAGCAGCAGGCGCTCCCGATTTCAGGTAATAAATTCATCCTTGATTCATGCAGGAGGTGGGGTCAGGGTCAGCATTCTCCCGGTTTCCTACGCCTCCTGCCCATCGTCATTCCTTCACTTTTCCGTGACAGTAGCTGCTCATTTAAGAGAGTTACTTGTCCCATTCATGTGCTTAGCAAATCGTGATTGGGCATGGACTTTTCCCCAGGTATTGTGCTGCAAGCTGGGATGACCACAGCCTTCCAGATTAGGCATTTGTAGTGTGCAGAGGCATTAAACCAATCAGCATGAATACAAATAATGGAAAGGCAGGGAAGGCTTCCCTGACTGATGAGGCCACTGAAATGAAACTGAGTGACCATCATTAACTAGTTACAGCGAATGGATGGGGTGCTGGGGAGAACATTTCAGGCAGAAAGAATGGCATGTGCTAAGGCCCTGGGGTGAGTGCACCATGCCAGTGCGTGGGACGGGTCACCGCGTGAAGAAAGGGCCTGCCCCGAGGAGGCTGCGGAGCGGACGGACGGGAGCCAGACATAGGCAGTTGCTAGAGCATGATTAGGACTCCGGTCTTTGCCGTGGAGCAACGAGAAGCCCCGTCGGTTTTACGCGGGGGCGCGCGACGATCAGACTTGCGTTGGGCGAGGAGCCGCTGGCTTCAGCGTGGCAGCGATCCGCGGGGACAAGGGCGGCGGCAGGCCCGCCGTGGTTCGGATGGCGACGGAGGGAAGGGGATCTGAGTGACTGGGTGCACAGGATGGGGTGCGAGACCATCCCCGAGGGTGGGGGAGGGGAGGCCGCGGAGGGTCCCTCCCCGCGCCCGAGCTCCGAGCACCCCGGGGCTGCAGGGGGTTCACCCCGCCCGCCTCCTGCGGGAACGTGTACTGGGAGCCCAGCAGGTACCCGCAGGAGCACGTCGCCCGGCGGCGGCGGAGAAAGATCCAGAAGCGGGCCCCCCAACTCTCCGCCTGCCTTCCCTCGAGGGCGTCCGCGCTCCCCGCACCCGCGACGACCCACCGAGCAGACGCCACCGAGAGGGAGAGGGCGGAGAGCACCTTCTGCGCACGCCTCGGCTCCGCCACCGCGGGGGCGGGCCGAGGGACGTCATTGTGCGGCGCCGGCGCGTGACGTCACTGTGCAGCGCCGGCAGGAAGCGGGGCTCGGCGGCGCACGTGGGGGGTGGCGCGGCGGGCAGGCGCATGGCGAGCTGCGCGGGGCTGGCGCTGTGCGGGCAGGCGCTGGTGGTGCGGGGCGGCAGCCGGTTCCTGGCCACCTCCACCGCGAGCAGGTGAGGGGGCGGGGCCTGCCGCGGGGAGCCCGGGCTGCGGACGCGCGGCGCGGCCTGCACAGTCCGATCCCTCGCGCCGCCGGGGCGCCCCTCGACGGCGCCGTCTGTCAAGACCCGCGGTCTCGGCCGGGGCGGCGCCGGCGCTGGGGGGCGGGTCACGGGGGCGGCGCGGGCCGGGGGTGGGCCCTCCGCGGCCTCCCGTCTGGGGGCGGGCGGCGGGCCTTGCTGGCGGGCGCGGGGGGGAAGGCTGCTTGAGTCCGGGCGCCGGCCGCCTCTCCCGCTCTCGGGGCGTGGGCCCGCCCCCCTCGCCAGCCGGCCGCGCCCGCTCCTCGGGGCTCCGGGGATTCCCCTCCTGGTGCGGCCGCTCCCGGCTCAGGCTCCTCCCCCGCCCGGCCCGGGGTTCCGTAGGTGCGGATCCCAGAGTCCTGTCTTGGGCAGCGTCGGCGCCTCCGCCTTCTCCCGGTTTGGCTCGTGCTTGCAGGGGCCGTGCGTCCCACGTAGACGCGGCCTCTCGGCTCGAAGCCGGAAACCCCGCTCTCTTAGTTTTCCCCGAAAACTCACTCACAAACTTGCGGTGTGTTCCAGGGATGTGCAGAGGCTCGCGGTACCTCGTGCTCCTGGGACACGCGGTATCACACTTGATAGGACGCTTGATAGGTAACAAGTGCACTAAATCCCTCGTTTTTTTAAAGATTTGTTTTTATTTGTTAGAGAGCGCGCGCGCACAAGCGGGGGTGGGGGGGGAGGAGGGGACTCCGTGCTTAGCGGAGAACCGCACCGGGGGCTCCATCCCAGGCCCCCGGAACATGACCTGAGCCCAAGGCAGACACTTCATGGAGGAAGCGTTTTTTGTTGTTGTTGTTTTTTTTTTTTAAGATTTTTATTTATTTGATACAGAGATCACAAGCAGGCAGAGAGGCAGGCAGAGAGGAGGAAGCAGGCTCCCTGCTGAGCAGATGGGGGGCTTGATCCCAGGACCCTGAGAGCATGACCTGAGCTGAAGGCAGAGGCTTAACCCACTGAGCCACCCCGGTGCCTCTGTTTTTTTTTTTTTTTAAATACGATTTCTCCTTTGTGCCTCTTGTGGAAGTAGAGTGATGGTGGCAGACTTTGTGACTCAGAGAACTACTTTTTCCAGCACCACAGTGTTCCATGGGCAGAGTCCCAGCGCATTACTGCAGAGGCCATGTAGTAGGGAGGAGATGGGCATAAACTCGCCAGCGCTTAGGGTCTCACTCCTGTGCTGGCAGGTGCTTGACAGCCACAAGCTTTCTTGGGTAGTTGAGACATTTTTAAGCGGTGGCCGCTTAATTTGGATGCAGGAATCTTACCAAAAAACATGAACCATCTTGCATTGGTTTTCTAGGGTGTGAAAGAAGAATGTATTACTTCCTGTTGAGTTTTTGTCCTCGTTTGTTTTGCTTAACCGATTTTTTGGGTACGGAACCATGCCAGTTGTGTATGGCCCACCTGGAAAGATGAAGCAGGTAAAGCTCTGTAGCGTTTCTCTGCAGTACTGTGCCCGGACAATTTCTTGCCGTGGATAAGACCCTTACTTTATCGGGTATGAGAATATTGGTGCTCCAGAGGAAAAAAAATCTCACATTTTTACTCATAAAGTGCTCTGTTTAAAATCTTTCTGTTTTCTCTTAGTGACGATGACGTCCCTTTCACATATGATTGCAGTACTGCGGAAAAGAAGTCCCAGGAGAATAAAGGGTGAGATGATGGGGCAGACTCTTAAGGCCTGATCGTGCTCGGACTAAATGGGACGGGGTAGCCTGAGAGGTAAATTGTTGCACTGAGTAAGTTGCCTTGGCACCGAATTCTTCATTTCTGTGGATGAGTTTCTGCCCTGTGGATGAACCAAGTAGGACCACAGGAAGGAAATGTGGAGCTAAGTTTAAATTTGGCCTTAAGAATAGTAGGTTTTTTCTCAAGACCTCCAGTTTCTGTCCGTAATTAACTCCTGTGGACATCTTGAAATAATGCAGTGGAACTTGCTGTGTGTCGAAGTTAGCTGTAGTTAATTGAAAGATAAGGGAAGCAGAGTGTGATCATTTTGTATGGTGCCTTTTTCTACTAGAATGGTCTTAAAGGCTCAGTTTTTTTTAATGTGACTTAGTTCTTGACTCTGGTCTTTGATTCGTTCTTGGCCGTGAGGGAGTGGGCTGTGTGCTCTCTGACGGTCTTTCTGGCTCAGCTCTTTGGATTCCGGTGTGTGTATGCTGAGAGATTCTTCTGTTTAACTAGATTTATTCCTTAAAAATTACGGCTGTCCTGAGCCTCCCCTAGTCTGCTTAAAACGCGTTTGTATTCTGGCTCCCTGAACCTCATGCCGTTTTCTGTCTCTGCTCGTGCCATAAACGCACAAGGCCAGCTTGAAGGAGTGCGGCCTTGTTTACTCAGGTAGGCCCTAATGGTCCTTGTCCTCTTTTCCTCAGGGAGGACGGGCAGCCCGTGGAGAAGGGGAGTGACACGATCCTGGCGTCCGCCTTCTCCAAGTCTGGTGGTTATTTTGCTTTAACTGATGACAGTAAGCGCCTGATTCTTTTCCGTACAAAACCGTGGCAATGTCTGAGTGTCAGGTATGAAATGCTCACGTTGGATCATTACCATGTTGAACGCACAGCTTACACTTGCATGCCCACAGCAGTAGTGACCGTGACGTAGCGAAAGAGCAGCTCACACGCCGCCTCGGCCGTGTGCCAGGCAGTCTTGTCGACGCCTTATGTGTGTTGACCGACTGAGTCCTTGAAACAGCCGTCTGCGGGGGTGGGGGCGCTCTCACCCACACGCCTGGCGGGAGTCGGGGCGCTGATCCCGGTCCGTCAGCTCAGAGGGCAGACCGGGCCCTGCCCCTGGTCCCTCCGGGTCCAGTCGGTGTCCCTGGCCACCGTGGCATCCTGCTTTCCAGGGTCCTCCAGCCTTGCGCTGGCAGAAATGAAGAAAGTCAGCAGCCTTAGAGCAGGTGGGGGCTGCTGGGGCAGGTCCCGGGCAGGCGTGCACTTCTCTTGCTCCGACAGAGTCCCGGTAGTAAGTTCTTTATTTCCTCTCGTGGGTGAGGGCTGGCGTTACGGGACAAATACCCACGTGGAGCAGAGTCAGCCCGCATCCTTGCCTCCCCCAGGCCGCACGGCTTAGCTGTCCCTGGAGAGTAAGCGATAAACTCGCGCAGGTCGTAGTGTTTGAACTACCTAACAGCCGAGGTTAAAGGGTTCCACTTTGTAGCTGGCTCGCAGCTGTACTGCGGAGAACTTCCTCGTCTTACTCTCTAGGAGGAGAGTAAAAGGGGCAGGTGCAGGTGGCGGTCTGTGTGGTGTGTGCATGCGGCTTAGGGGTAGCGTTTCATCCTGCACTTGGGGCCAGCGGCCGCCTGCACAGCCTGCCGACTCACCCCTGCCTCCTGTCGTGGGGCTTGCACCTTGACCGAAGGGCGGGTGCCCGGGGCTCCTGGCGGGGCTCTGGCCCTTCCCCGAGCGCTCCTGGCATGGTGCAGGGTCTGCAGGGGAGGAAGCCTTCTCTTGACCAGCAGCGGGTCTCTGTGCCTGTCAGGCTGTTGGGGAACGCAGGGCAGGGTCTGTGGTGTGTGAGGCCCAGGATGGGTGTCCAGGCACAGAGTCCTGTGTGTATCTGTCCAGTTCCCTCCGCACCGTGGCCCATGGGTGTTTGAGGGGAAGATGCTGTGTTTTTGTTTTGTCTTTGGAAGGTAGTGTGTTGGCGACTTCGGTTGGAGATCTAGGAGCGCTCAGGGGGGGCATGCAGCGGTTGGCACCTGGTTTCTTCCCCCATAATTGGTTTTTACGTTGACATCAGCAGACCAGCTTTGTGTTGGAGACCTCTGCGTTGGGTGTGCAGGGCCTCTCGTGTTGCCTGTGGGGGTCCATGGTGCGTGCAGACACTGCTCTCGGGACCCCGGCAGCTCCCATCCCGTCTGCGTCAGCCACTGGATGGAGGGGTCGGGCCAGATTCGCGGGTCTAGGGGCTGCATTTCTCAGGTTGCCTTGTCCTGTGGGCGTTCACTGAGCTCAGTGTAGGGTGCGTGCTGCCTGGTCTGGTGGCCGTTAACGCTGGTCAGGGGCACACCCAGACGGACCCCTTGCTCAGATAAACAGCCACCCTCCACGCAGCTGACTCTCAGTTCAGCGGTGCAGGTGTCCCGGGCCCCCGAGATCCACGTGGGACCGGGAATTGCTCACAGCTCGCTGTCTGGAGGCTTTAATATTAATCACGCAGGGTTCTAAGGAAAAGCCCAGATGGAAACGGTGGGTAGCAGCACTTGGTTTAAGGTTTCTGTTTGCAATGACAAAGGCCCAGAACCGAGGCCAGGTTTTCCGAGTTAAAGATAGGGTACTTGGGGTGACATGATATTTTCTGCTGTGATGTGTGTGTTTGTTAGTGAAAAATGTCACGTAGGAAATCACAGCATTTCAGAAAATTGCCTGTACTGAAATGCTGCATGTGCGGAAGGGCAGAGCCCCAGGAAATGAGGTGGTTCTCCCGGAGCTGCTTGGCAGCTGGAGGTGTGTGGCATTGGGGAGCTGGGTGTCTTCAGTGCCCGGCAGGGCCTGGCGGGCCACACACTCAGTCCGTGGAACAAGTGTGGCTCTCCGGAGGGGGGCTTGAGTGGGCACTAAGTGTGGGGGATTTCAGGGCTCAGTTAGCTACCTGACCAGCGGCGATCCGCTTGGAGGTGGCAGAGGGGAGAGGGTCAGGCTGGCCCCGGGGGGTGTGAGGATGGGAACGCTGGGCTGTGAAACCCGTGACTCTGGAGGGAAGGGGGAGTGCAAAGATCCTGACAAATGGTGAGGCCCGTGTCTTCTGATGGCGCAAAGTGGCCAGACCACCTGCTGTCCAGTCTCATGACGTGCTTGCCCACGCCTGTGACCCGACCCCTCAGGTCCTCACCCCCACCTGCTCCGTGCAGCATCCTGGAATCCCCCCAGGACTGACTTGGCCTGAGAAGATGAACGTCTCCCTAACCCCCCCCCCCCCCCCCCGCCACTGGCAGAGGACAAAGGGCCAAGATTCTGGAGGGTGCTGGGGCGAGTGCGTGCTGCATCCTGCTGTGGGCCTGGCCCAGGCCGTCCTTCTGGATTGGTGGCTGTGTGGCCGCGTGAGTGCCTCTGAATGCACAATGGCGTTCAGTGACGCGTGCACGGAGAGGTGGTGAGTCTTGCCAGAGCCCGTGCTCGCTCTTGTGTTGTTTCTCCGTGTTAAGTTGCTCCTTGTCTTTCCGTCCGCTGTGCCCCGGCTCAGGGAAGTGCGGGAGCAGGTTCCACCGCTGGGGGTGGCGGAGCCTGGGGACACGGCTGCGGGCCCCCTGCCCTGGGTTTCCCGTCCTCCGTCCTTCTGCTCCCGAGAATGTGGGCGGTCTTCGGTCCTCGTGCTGGACATGTGGCTTCTTCTAGCTTTGGTTTCCATTTCAAGGGATGTGTGGGGCTCCAGCAGCGGGGAGCTGGGGGGCCCCGTGTGCACGGACACTGGGGAAGGTGAGTCCCCTTCCACACCCTCTGGGGACAGAGGAAGGCAGGGACCCCGCTTTCTGGAGGAGAGCCGCAGACGTAGGCGGTGCAGACAGGCTGCTGTTGATGGGTGAAGTAGGGTCACGCGTGGCATCTTCTGTGGGGTGAGAAGTTCAGGCCTGTTGCCCTGTGGAGACGCCAGTGGAAAAGAGGTGGACTGTGTGAGCGCTGCGGGCAGGAAGCTGCGTGGCCCCTGTGCCCTGCCAGTAGTGAGACCCGGTGGGATCGGAAGGGTCGCCATGTGTGTATGTCAGGGGCCGTAACTTTGTTTCTTAGGCTGGTGCAGTGTGGAAGCAACTGGCACATGTGACTGATCTGGTGAATCTGGCCCAAGTGTTTGTATTTAGGAGTGTGTTAACCGTCCCGCAGCCTGAGCCGGGACGTGGCCCCCTCAGCAGTGCGTTCCCTCGTGGTCGCTTGCCCTCCTCCGGAGTCGTCCCTGTGGAGAGGGACCGTGAGTGCCACGCCTGCCGCCAGGTGTGTTGCCCCATCTTCAGGGGCGTGTGCATGAGCCGCACGTGGATTCCCGCCCGGCTGCCCTCCCCTTCTCCTGGGCTGGGGCATGGACTCGGTGGTCCTGGACGGGAAGCTGTAAGGGTAGGAGGCCCTGCGTGGTGTGCGCTCTTCTGGTTCTGATTGGAGCACGTTGGGTGTTTGTGAAGCTGTCCTCCCCCGAAGGCACCGTAGAGGCGCTGGGGTCAGAGGGCAAATAAAGGGGAATTTTCCCGACATTTTATTATGACCATCTTCAAACAGAGCAAATGTGAGATGATTTCGTACCGGACGCCTGAAGTGTCCACCACCCGGATTCCGCTATCACAAAAGCAAAGATATTCCAAAGTTAAATTGGCCCAAGTCATTGGCTTTGTTTCCGTTCTCTTAATTACTTGATTTTTTTGACATCACCTGTGGTGACTGGAAGGGGCGACGTGGCGTGGAGCTGACCCGCCAGCAGCAGGACCAGCCTGCAGGTCTGTTGGCCCGCCTCGTGCCGACCTGTGCAGGCCAACGGCGGGCATCTCTTGCCTTCCAGGACCGTGGTGAGGAGATGCACGGCTTTGACCTTCACGGCCTCCGAGGAGAAGCTTTTGGTGGCCGACAAGTCTGGGGACGTGTATTCCTTTTCTGTGTCCGACCCACAGGGATGTGGCAGGCTTGAGCTTGGGCACCTGTCGATGTTGCTGGATGTGGTACGTGGGTGGTGGGCCCCGTTAAACCTGCTGCAGCCCGCTGGGTCCAGGGGCAGGGCGTCCGATGGGGGGTGAGGCTGGGTCTGTGAGCCCAGCTGTCAGGGTTCGGGCTCTGGAGCAGGGACAGCTCCGCAGATCCGTGGGCGGGGCTTTGTGGGAGCGACATTCGGGAAGGTGAGGCTGACAGGGTGAATGTCTGGGCCACTTGGGAGGTGGCTGGTTACTTCTGCATGTAAGGGACAGCCGGGTTGGGTGACCAGGTAGAGGGGGCGTGTGGGAGGGCAGTCACCGTCTCAAGGCCCAAGCTTGTTCCCAAGCTTTATGGGCCTCACCTGAGTGTCTTTGCAACCCTGAGCCAGGAGCGGTTTCCCCGAGAGGCCCAGCGAGGCCCCGGGCAGCCGGTGGGAGGTGCAGCTGGGGTAGGACCCAATGAGAGGCAGGGACAATGACAGAGGGGTCCTTGAAGGAAAGCCCCCAGGACTTGGTGACTGGCTGGCCATGGGGACACTTGAAGGAGGAAGGAGAGGGAGGGTGCTGGAGGCCGGGGGGTGCGGCAGGAGCAGGGAGGGGCCGCACTGAGTTGGGCATCTGGACGCCACCGTGGCACAATGTAGAGCTGGGGACAGGTTCCAGGGGTCGGGGTGGGCGGGCCAGCTGTGGCTTCCTTCACCAGCAGGTCTGTCCTTTCTGACCCCGTGTGCAGGCCGTGAGTCCTGACGACCGCTACGTCCTCACCGCCGACCGGGACGAGAAGATCCGGGTCAGTTGGGCTGCGGCGCCACACAGCATCGAGTCCTTCTGCCTCGGGCATGCCGAGTGAGTCCCCTTCCTGCCCCCCAGGATGAAGCTCGGGCTCGGAGCGCGGGTGGGCCGCTCGGCTTGGGCACCGGTGGTGGAGCCGGCACCACCTGCCCCTTGGCCAGGGCCTCGCAGGAGACAGACAGCCGGGCATGCGCAGCACTGCCCAGCGAGGCCCCGTTCGGGGCAGGGTTCCACCCGGGGCTGTCAGGACCCCTGCCGCGTCCTTCCCTTCCCTTCCCGTGTGTTTTGGGGAGAGGTTTCCTTGTCGGCACCGAGGTCTCGGAGCCCAGGGCGTGCCCACGGGAGCCAGCGTAGCCCGCGTTGTGAGAGGCCTTCACTCCGAGCCCACTGCCTCCCGCCCTAAGCACTCACCAGTGGTCCTCACGTTGGCCTCCAGCCAAGGGCTTGTTTCCAGAATGCTTCTTCCTTGGTGTAGACATCTGTCAGCGCCAGCGGTGGTGGGCAGCCAGGAGAGGGGTGCGTGCTGGGGGGAAACATACTTCAATAATTTGAGTGGTCTGGGACTTATCATCGCCTCTGAGTCTGGGCGGTGGTCCGTCCTTTATGACCTCTTCTGGCGAGCGGGAGCTGTTCCATAATTGAATTTTGACATCTTGCAGGGAGGCATTTCTGAGGAACACTGCTGTTCTCGGGCACGAGCCTAATTACAGCGTGTGGACGGGGGAGCCCTTTGTTTTGTTTGCTGAAGCGTTTAACGTTTAATTACTGGAGGCAGGGGAACACGTTGGAGAGACTTAATTTAATTCTGAGATTGCTTCTGAGTCTTTGGATTTGAATGGAATGTAAGGTGACCTCTGCGAAGGTCGCTGGTGGCCTGGTTTGTAGCTCCTTATGGCGGATGTGGGCGTTGATGCAGCTGTCCAGTAACCCAGCACCCAGACTTAGGCCCTGTGAACCTCACGGGCCTTCCATGAGGTGACTCACGGGCTCTGGAATGGCCGTCCCTGCGTCAGGGGAGTCCTTGGGCCAGCCGGTCGCGGGCCTTGCCTGGAGCTGGAGAGAAGCGGGGAAGGCTGGTCCTGCGGGGCTAGAGGCTGGCTCACAGCTGGCAGACTCCGGGGGGCTTCTGGGGTCCGCTGGGTGCGGGGCTGCCCTGGGGTAAAGGACAGGAAGTCTGAGTCTGTCTACGGGCCAGTGTTGCTGCTCGTCCTCCGTCCCTGCTCCTTCCTGCTCGTCTGTCCCCGAGGCTCCCTGCCGTCACGGACCTTCAGGGAAGGTTTCGGGTGTGAGCAGGGCCGCTGGAGTGAGCAGCACAGGCGCTCCGGGATCTCTCCACCAGCGTGGCAGGGCCACTCCTGTTTGTCACGTCATGGCTCTTGGGGCCTGGAGAATGACGTGGTGCGGTCCTCACGCTCGCTCGGTGCTGTCTCGCTACATGTGGGAGTCGTGGCCGTTTTTGTGGGGGGTCAGGGGTTTAGGAGGGGGCGGCTTCTCTCTCATGACCGGTGGGCCGAGCAGACGCCACAGCAGCAGCCTGGAGCCGGGCTCCCTCTGCGCCTCTCTCTCCACTGTAGGTTCGTGAGCCGCATCCTCGTGCTGCCCGACCACCCCGAGCTGCTGTTGTCCTCCTCCGGGGTAAGTGTTTCACTCTGCTGTGTGCACCTGCGGGCGCCTTTCAGCAGGGGAGCCGTGCGGAGCCGTGCGGAGCCCCGGCCCGCCCTCCACGAGCTCTTCTGGTCCCCGCTCGGGCGCTTTCACTCAGCGGCTGGCCACTAGATGGGGCCTGTTCTCCGAGTTTTGGAGCCGACTGCGGCTGGCTCCTCCTCAGGGCCTTCCGTGGAGGGCGCGTGCGTGCGTGCGTGTGTGTGTGTGTGTGTGTGTGTGTGTGTGTGTGTGTGTCACACACTGCAGTGGGGTGTGAGGACTGTGTCCTCAGAGCTGTCACATCCGTACCAGCATCATGAGCTCTGTTCCGGCAGTAGCTGGGAAGACCCCTTCTGCGTCCCGGGGACCTGGCTTCCGTGCCGCTCTTCATCCTGGCCCTCGGGCAGGGCCCCTGGCCTTGGTGGGGCTCTGATCGGTAGCGAAAACCTACGTGTCCCGGCAGTGGGGACAGTGGTTCAGTGATCGGAGACTCGGGCCTAAGGACTAATCTGTAAAACGATCGTTAAGCAGTAGCTCTCGCCGAAGCGAAGGTTTTGAGTTACTGATTGTGTCTCATTCTTTCATCCAGCTCTGTCCTGTCCCTCCTCTTGTTTTTCCTGTCCTTTCCCGTTTTATGGGACTCAGGTGCCTGGCAGCGGGGGCGGCGGGGTGCGCGGAAGCCCCCTCCGGACCTCCTGAGAGTGGGGGTTTCTGGGCGGGCGCTGTGGCCTCCCTGGGCCGCTGCAGGCGGCCGGCCACCACGTGGCTGTGCTTTGCTCCCTCCCCACGCCTGTGTCCCTGCAGCGTCTGCCGTCCCATGTGTGGTCCAGCGACAGCAGACCGGAGAGTGCGTGTGGCTGGGGCCCCCAGAGGCGGCAGGTTTTGTGGATTTTGCTGTACCTGTGTCTTGAAGTCTTTTTTACGATTAAGAAAATATTTAAGCGCCCAGAAAAGCAGAACAGACACCTTTGACTTTGGCACCAGTTTGGCCGGCTTGGGCATTTTGCTCGTGATCCTGTTTGAGGACGCAGCAGGGCTGGTGCTCAGGCCGTGGTGGGGCAGGGGGTGCGCTGCCCGCCGTGTGCCCGCACCCGCAGTTCGTTTCCGGTGGAAGCACCTGTACCTGGCAAGTGGAATTCTGCCATTCGGCCGGCAGCGGAAGATGGCCGTGGCGCCCTGCAAGGTGTGCCCATGGGCCCCGCGGCCTTGTAACGGCCCTGCAGTTACAGAGAGTATCCAGAGAGCAGCGAGAAACAAGAGCACATGTTTCCCGCGAGCTCTCCCGCCGTCTCCGTGGTGGGGACGCCGTCTTGCCCATCGTCTTTTTCTTTCCTGGTAGGCTGCACCTCCCCTGTTCCTGTTGATCCTCTGTGTGCCTGTCTGTCCTGCTGTGTCGGGAGCAGTGCCTCTGAAGGGGGAGGGACGGTGTATCGTGAGGCTGCTGTCCTGGGTTCTGGAAGTGCCCCTAACCCCCAGCCCTCGAGCCCGAGGTGAGAGCTCCTCCCAGCGGTTGGGTGGCTTCTCTGGTCGCTGTCTGTGCTCGGCAGGCTCCGTACTTGGGCTTGAGCATCTGTGGCCGTTCCGAGTGGGTTCTTGCTGCAGGATCTGTTTCTCCTTCTCTGGATGTTTTCGGGGCCCTCTCGCCCCGTGCTCTGAAGTTGGGGATGATGGGGGCCAGGCTCTGCACACCGGCTCACTCGGTCAGTGGCCCCTGCGGCTCAGGGTCCTTGGTCCCAGGAGTGTCGTCACTGAGCACTTCTCCCCCAGTCTGTGTTGTGGGATGTTGGGCTACGTTGGTTGCCTGGTTTGTTTTCTTTCCCTTGGCCTCTCTTGTGCTCTGCTCTGCTTCTGGGACTTCTCCTCAGCTCTGTTTTGCCGTGTCCTGTGGGGATTCCGTTTTGCTGTTCCCGGTAACCGTCAGGAGCCTTTTCTTGTCCTCAAAGTGTCCTCCTCTTATAGTGCCCTGGTCGTGGGTCCCGACTGCAGGACCTTTGCTCTCCCCGAGCTCGCATGTGTGTTTCCTTCCCCCGTGTGCTGTCCGCCTTGTGTGGTGGAGGTTTCCTACAGATATCCGGTGATCGCGTCTGTCCACGTTTGATGGGGACAGGGCACTGGCCGGCATGGTGGAGACTGGATCTGGGGGCCCGCGGTGTTGGAGTCAGGCACCCATGGGCCATCTAGGTCAGCTCTTCTCTGGTGGTTACTTGGCCCAGTCTTTGCCTTTCTGGGCATCAGGCGTGTCCCCGTGCTCCGGGACGTGACTGGGGAGGGCTGGTGGTGTCTCTCGCTCCCTGGTTCCTGGTGGTGAGCCTGTAGCTCTGCCAGCCGCAGGGGTGGGGAGTCCGGGCACTCTGACTGCTCTCCCACTGGGTGGCTGTGCCGCTGAGGGCCTGCTGGGCCCAGTGTGCTGTGTCGTGGCCTCCTGCAGCCAGTGCCTGCCTTCGTCTGCTCCTAGGCGGCCTCACGATTGCCTGTCTCATCACTTTTCTGTCCTCGAGTCTTCATGCTTTGGGAGCACGCTTTCCTGTCCCTGCAGAGGGACGTCGGGGCAGGGGTGCTTGTCTGCCGCTCCCCTTCCCGGTGTACTCGCGCTCCCGCCCGACCCCACATGACCCGCTCGGCCGCTCTGGGGGACTCGCTGTTTTTCCTTTTCTTCCAGGCGTGTGGGAACTCTGCGCGGTGCTGTCTCCCTGGTTTGCTCGGAATCTGGGCTTCAGGTGCGCGTGGGCTTGTGCACACCTGTGGTCCGCGATGGGTTCTGGTGCATGGGGTGGGGGCCCCGGGGTACCGGCCAAGTGGCTGAGCCACTAGGCTCTGCCTCCTTCCCGGTGTGTCCTGATTGGGCCCGCGGCCTGTCCTGGTGAGATCTGTGACGAGCCGTTTTTTTGTTTTTTGTTTTTTTTTTTAATATTTTATTTATTTATTTGACAGAGAGAGACAGAGATCACAAGTAGTAGAGAGGCAGAGAGAGGGAGGGGAAGGTAGGCTCCCTGCTGAGCAGAGAGCCCGATGTGGGGCTCGATCCCAGGACCCTGGGATCATGACCGGAGCCGAAGGCAGGCGCTTAACCGACTGAGCCACCCAGGCGCCCCCGAGCCGTCGTTAACACGAGCGCTCTCCAGTGTTTGTGCCTGTTTTTGGAGCAGTAAGGCTTTCTGCACACTTGCCTGTTTCCTCGTCTTCCCCAGCGGACAGGCTCACGGGTTTCCACCCGCTCCCGATCGGGGATGTGGGACAGCTGTCCTGCTCAGCAGCCTTGCCCACGCGTCTCCTGTGCGAATGCCTGACTGTTGAAGCATCCGTGTGTGTGTGTGTGTGTGTGTGGGCACGCGTGTATCTTCCTTGCGCGAGTACAGCGGCTGCGGTCTTTGACGTTCTGCGAGTGACCAGCAGCTTGTCTTGTGTCTCTTGCCCCTGCTGTCCCGTGGGGGCTCGGGCGTTCTGCGGATGATGGGCGCGGCCGCACAGTCGTCCCTCGCGGCAGAGCATGTGACCTGGGTGCCGCGGGGCGGTGACCCGGCCCCTTTCGGGAGCCCCCATCCTTGGAGGCAGTCCTGCCCCTCCGTGCGCAGGCTGACCCGTCCGTGTTGTGTGCAGGACTGCACCCTGAGGCTCTGGGAGTACCGAAGTGGCCGAGAGCTGCACTGCTGTCACCTGACCAGCCTGCGGGAACCGGAGGAGCCATGGGGTGACAAGGTAACGTCCCGCTTCTGGCTCGGGGTGATCGCGGCTTGTAGGGCGCCTTTCCAGTCCCTGGGGTCCTGGGAACAAGCCCACGTTTGTGTTGGAGACATTTCCTTGCCGTCAACACAGACGCCTTCCAGCTTGGGAGAGATCATGGGCTTCAGATTCTGAAGGTGCCCCGTCCCGTAAGGGGAAAGTAACTTTGATCTCCCCTTACTGCGTGTGAACGAGCCCGGTACAGGAGCGTCTCCGCCAGTCCTGCTCGGAAATGGGAAAGACCGTGGTGCCTGAGCAGGGAGCCTGTCAGGGAGCTGAGCACCCTTCCCACGTCTGTCCCTCCTTGTCTGCCGTGGATTAACCTCATGACCGCCCCTCATCCCCAGGACCCCACGCTGGCTAGTGTATCCCTGGGTCAGGTCTCCTGGGGCTTTGATGGTGAGAGATCTTCGGGGGAGAATGGGCTGCCTTTTGGGGTGCTCTGCATTCTGTCGTCATGGACACCCTGCTCTCTGGTACTCCTGGGCTGGTGCCCTGCACGCCTGAGGTCCAGTATGGTCACTGAGGGGTGACCCCACCCATTTTCCTAGAGGCCTCTCTGGGCCTGGCGGGGAGGGAGCATTCCGCATCCGTGGCTCTCCAGGCCCGCAGAGCCGGCCGTCGTGGTTTCTTGATGACCAGGGTCCTGGCTCTCATCAGGGACTTTTGCCCTTTCCTCTGGAGCCCCCGTGTGGCCCCTGCCAGCCTGCAGGAGGCTTGGCTAGAGTCGAGGGGCTCCTCTGCCTCGTTCTTGGGTTGGCTGCTGTCTTTCTGCTCCTGAGACTGCTCTGCAGCCGTCGCCCTCACTTGGCCTCAGAAGTGGGCAGGCCAGGCCTGACCGCGGGCCACAGCCTCGAGGACTCTGGGCCTTTGGCCACCCAGCCAAGTGATGCCTGGGTCCCCAGGTCAGCGGACCCTGCTGCTCTGGCTGCCCACTCATGGAGCCTCCTGCTTGGGCGTCTGTGGCCCTGGTGGCCCCCCCCCCCCCCCCCGCTCCCGCCCATGGCGCAAGGACGCCTGATTTGTTCTGGTAACTTTTTCACCCTCGCGGTCTCAGTTAAGCTCTTGGTGGGCTCGGATGGTGAGGTTGACTTTAGTCTCTTTAAGAGGCGGGGGCGAGCGTGCGGCAGAGAGGCCCACGAACCCGCAGGTTTCTGACCTCGGGCCCGGGACACGTGGCCTGCATGAGCTGTGGATGGCCCCGTCTCTTGGGCTTCTCAGTTCCTTCCTGGGAGCCCCTGGGGCATGGCCCGTGCTCCTCCAGCTGGGCTTGGTGAACACCAGGCCTCTACTGCCACTTCTCCAGGGTGTGTGGACCTTGCACATGCAATTGTGTCTTGTTAATGGTTCCCTAGGTTCAATGTCCTCTCCTGTCCTTGACCAGTTGGCTTCGGAGACGTTGGGAAGGCCAGAGCTACAGAAAGACAGGCCTCTGCTATTCGCCGTGGCACACTGCAGTTGTGAAACGGGGTGGCTGCTGCGCCTTTCTTCTGCTGATTTCCAGAAAGTTCCTGGACTGTTTCATTATTTTCCTTCCTTGACCATAGTGGCACCTGTCAAGCTCTGGCTGTGTCTGATCTCAGTGTGAACAGAACAGTCCTGATTCGGGTCCCTGACAGGTGACCATGTGGTCACGTTGCTCCTTTCCTTGCAGAGGTCCGCGGCGTCCAGGATCGCGTACTGGGGCCAGGAGAGCTGCGTGGCGCTGCTGTGTGACTGGTGGGTGCACTCGCGCGCGGATGGCCTTGTTCTGGGGGCCCGCACGCCTGCCATAGGAGGGAACACGCGGGTCGCTCCTGTGGCCCCGTGGGCCGTCTCCTTCATGGGGAGGCTTCACATACTTGTTCATACAGCCTGTCCCCGCAGTGAGTTTTACTCCGGGAGGATGGCCATTGCCAGATGGAGGTGGGTTCCTTTCCTTAGGGTGGAGTGGCGCACTGTGACTTCCTGTTTAAATGCACTGGCCTCCAGCTGGGCTTGGTGTGTGATAAAGTCCCACCTTCGTCAGCTCCACCCGAGGGCTGCTCACAGTGGGACCCACACTAGGGCTCCCGGTGCCACAGAGGAGGATTTTGGGAGCACGTGCCCCTCCCAGCCCCCCATGGTGGGTTCTGGAGCGTTGCTCCTGTGCTGGGTAGGGACCCTGTATTTCTACACAGCTCGTTTGTCCTCACAGCAAGCCTACAGTGGGCATCTTTGTTTTAAAACACGGCTGCAGGGGCGCCTGGATGGCCCAGTGGGTTAAGCCTCTGCCTTCAGCTCAGGTCATGCTCCCAGGGCCCTAGGATCAAGCCCCGCATCGGGCTCTCTGCTTGGCAGGGAACTTGCTTCTGTCTCTCTCTGCCTGCCTCTCTGCTTACTTGTGATCTTTGTCTGTTAAATAAATAAATAAATAGAACAAATAAAACGTGACTGCAGGTTAGAGCCAGGTGGGGCCTGGGCCCAGCGCCCCGTGCCGTCAGCTGCTGCAGGTGGGACGGCCCCCTTCCCCATGACCTGTTCCTTTGTTCTGCACTGGCTCCCCGTCACAGCAGGACCAGCTAACCCCGAGCTCCCTGACTTAGACTTCTGTTACCCCTCAGTTCCTGGGGCTCGTGGGCTGGGAGGCGGCTCTGCTGAGTGTTTCTGGCCGAGTCTGTTATGAGCTTTGAGTCAAGATGCTGGCGGCGGGTGGAGGCTGGGTCTTGTGATCTGGGCACCGTGCTGAGCTGTTGTCCGTTGTCCCGTCGTACCCACACAGGCCCCGTCGTAGCTCTAATCATTTTTCTCTCTCTTTGCGGAAAGCATTCCCGTGGTCTACATCTTCCAGCTCGACGCCCGCAGACAGCAGCTGGCGTACAGACAGCAGCTGGCTTTCCAGCACAGAGTGTGGGACGTTGCTTTCGAGGAGGGCCGGGGACTGTGGGTCCTGCAAGACTGCCGGGAAGCCCCCCTTGTGCTCTGCAGGCCCGTGGGCGGCCGGTGGCAGGTGAGACGCGTTGGGCCCCTGCCGCCTGTATGGCTGAGGTGGGGGTGTGCCAGCTGTGCCTGCCTCCAGCTTGATCGTGTCTTGGTGCTGGGGCTGCATCCTTGTGGTGGTGGCCGGAGGACTCGTTACGGGGGTTCGGGGAGCAGGGCTGCCTGGCCAGCTCATCTGGCGTCATGGTGCCTGCAGTGTTTCTTTGTGGGGTAGTCGCCCTCGTGGGCGTAGTTCTTTCTTGTGCTTGTCCCGGTCACGTGTCTTTTTAGCGGAGAAGCCAGCAGTTGGTCAGGCTTGGCTGTAGGTCCTTGATGTTGGCAGGCTTAGGGTGGCCTTGTATCTGGGGCACGGAATCAGGAGCAGAGAAAGGCGTGTGGGCCGTGGGCTGAGTGAGCCTCTCCTCCCCGGGACACATGTGAGCCTTACCCCTTCTCTGAGCTGGCTCGCCCGTCTGTAATGCCGGGCCGTCTGCTGCCCGTGCGGGGTCTCCTAGGACACTGCGGGGAGGGATCCGGGAACGCCCGCCAGAGTGCTGTGCAGACGGGCCCTCCTTTACCAGAGCTTGCTTGACTGAGGCTTTGGAGATGCCCCTGAACCCTTTGGGTATTTTCATCTAAAAAGTAGTGGCGAACAGAATGCCACTAGCCGGCGTGTGTCGCCTGCCAGGCTCCTCAGACAAGGTCACAAGTGACGAGTGAGGGTGTGGGACGCTGGCAGCCCACGCAGCGTGGGTCTGTGTCGTGACGCCATGTGGTGACTGCTGTGTCTGTTGTGCCAGCACGGCTGGCCGGCTTTGCCTGGTGCTCCCGAGGGCCCAGCCACCTCGACCACGGCCGACAGGTCTGTGCCTCTGCGCGCTGCGCTAGGGCGGCAGTCCTGCGTCTTTCCGGTAAATGTCTTCCATTTGTCTTCTCAGGCTGTTCCCGAAAACGCCGCCTTAGAGAAGGTCTCCGCCCATCTTCAGGGGAACTGGGCCATGTTGGAAGGTGAGCGTGTGGGCACGGCCTGCTTTCTGGGATGATGTCCAGAATTGGCCGTGGACGGGGCCAGCTTACAGAATAGCATACGCAGCAGGAACCACCTCCGTGGGTGCTAGTCCAGGATGTGTGGCATGTGCCCATGTCCCTGTCCAGAAGGCCAGCAGCTGGTTGGGGCACCGAGGAGCTGACCCGTGCCCGGGCAGTCCGCGTCAGGATGATTGAGCTGCATGGGGACCGGGGTCAGGGTTGGAGTGCCACCCACCTCTCTGCCTTCAGGGCGAGGGCCCTGGGAGGGGCCGGTACTTGGTGGGCCTCTGGACGGAGTGGCAGGGCAGCTCACGGGCTCTGACTGTTGGCTCTGAGCAGCCACAGCATGTGGTTCCTAGCCACAAAGTCAGGCGTGGGGACCATCAGTGGACTGCCCGTGGATGTCTAGGGCCCAGGGCAGGTCCCAGTAGGAACACCAGGCTGAGGGAAGAGGAGAGATTGTGGTGAGAAGGCGAGTCCCCTTCCTTGTGGGACCATAGTCCGCGAGGAGAGCGACCAGGCGATCGGAGCCACGTGTCCTGGTCAGCAGAAGGGCCCGTGGTGAGCAGCTCGTGCTGCTGTCCCGTAGTCCTGCCTGAGACTGCAGAACGGTGAGACCTTGCTCCGTTTCTTTTTTTTTTTTTTTAAGTGATTTTATTTATTTATTTGACAGAAACAGACACACAGAGAGGGGGAACACAAGCAGAGGGAGTGGGAGAGGGAGAAGCAGGCTCCCTGCCAAGCAGGGAGCCCGATGTGGGGCTCGATCCCAGGACCCTGGGATCATGACCTGAGTCAAAGGCAGACGCTTAACGACTGAGCCACCCAGGCGCCCCTTCTTTTTTTTTTCTTAAGAGATTGTATTTATTGGAGCGTGTGGGTGAGTAAGCGCATAGAGCATGAGCGGGGAGGCAGAGGGAGAGGGAGAAGCAGGCTCCCCTCTGAGCAGGGCTCAAGCCCAGGACCCCAGGACCATGACCCGGGCCGAGGGCAGATGCCCAGCCAGCTGAGGCACCAGGCGCCCTGACTTCCCTCCATTCGTTTTCATAGAGGAGGGGGAACCTGTAGTTACAAGCCTCCAGAGACCCAGCGGTGTTTTTTTTTTTAATTTTTAAGAGTTTATATATTTATTTGACAGAGACGCAGCAAAACAGGGAACACTAGCAGAGGGAGTGGGAGAGGGAGAAGCAGGCCTCCTGCCGAGCAGGGAGCCCTGCGCGGGCTCGATCCCAGAATCCTGGGATCACGACCTGATCTGAAGGCAGGCGCTCAGTGACTGAGCCCCCCAGATGCCCCCCGTGATGCTTTTCTTGAGCAGAGACCTGAAGCGACTGTCAGAAGGATGACTGGCCGCCCAGCATTGGGAGCCAGACGCTTTCATTTGAGTAAAGGAATTACTGCCTAGAAGACATCTTTCAAATTACTCCCCAGGGAGAAGGCAGAGTTCTCCGAACTCGAGAGATGCAGACGTAAATTCCGTTTCTGTTGACAAGTAGCAGTGATCTAAACGTCTCGTGGAAGGCATTCTCGTGTGATTTGTTGGTTCTGGGTCCCAGGGTAGCTTCCATCCCTGCTTTTAGGGTGAAAGTCCCAGGGCAGTGACAGGGCTGCGTCCTCCCCAGCCCGGTGCGCGTTTGCTTGTCGAGTGGACCTGTGTTAGGACTGCGTGGGGGACACGAGCGAGCCTGCTTCACCGGGCACGTGCCGCCCTCCCTGCTAGGGCCTGGGGCCAGCGCGTCCTGCTGTGGCTCACCCGGCGGGGCCGGCGGCGGGCTTCACTCCCCTGAGCTTCTGCAGGTAGAGCCAACCGTCCGCCGTGCAGGGGTGGGGGAAGGTGCGAGGCGAGAGAGCCCGGGGAAGTCAGGCTGGCTGGGCCTGAAAGTCACAGGAAGGGTAGGGACGGCGGAGTGAGCGGGGAGGTCACTGTGCAGGGTACAAGCATGGACATTGCTGACGGTCCCTGTGGAGTTTGTGGCCAGGGTGAGGTCCACCCCGTGGGGCTGGTCTGTGGTCTTTATGCCCCCAAAGCTTGATACTTTGATCAGTCCGCACCTGTTAGGTTGCCCTGCGGTGAGTAACCTGCACTCGGTGGGTGAAAACACTACTTTCTGTCTTGCGGCGTGTGTGGGTCCTGAGGCTTGGTGGTCCCGGTGCCTGCCCGTGAGGACCGGGGGTGGGATCCGATGTCGGGCACCCGAGTGGAGGTTGGCGGTGTCCTGGTCCCTCGCTGGCTGCTGGCTGGAGGCCACCCTCAGTCCCCATTTCAGGGACCCCCATGGGGCAGCTGACGGCATGGTGGCAGCCCTCGTGCCTCGTCTCCCAGCAGTGACCTGGCTTTTGAGTCCAGCTGGCGTGGCCGCCAGGAGACGGGCCCCGTGGGGGTGCCTTGGAGCAGGCGCTGCCAGCCCGTGCCGAGCCCCGGGTCAGTCCCACTGTGGCGGGGCCTCGCCGGCACAGTTTTCCCTGTCCCACCTGCCGTCTGTTCTTGTTCATCCCGCACAGGCTTGGCTGGCGTGGACGCGGGCTTCAGTGGTCTCTACAAGGCCACCTTTGACAATGTGACTGCCTACCTGAGGAAGAAGGAGGAGAGGCTGCAGAAGCGGCGGCAGCAGAACCCACCCCCGGGGCCCAACGGGCAGGCCAAGAAGATGAAGCCGGAGGAGGCTTCCCTGAGGTGCTCGTCCTAGCCGCCCCGGCTTGGCACGCCCCCTCCCTGCCGGTGGCCCCTCTAGGAAGCGAAGGGGCGACGTTGTTCCTGACCCACACTAGGTGACAGTCCGCTCTGCGCCAACTCGGCACACATGGGCTGTCCTCAACTAGTGGGTGTCCTGGGCTGTAGAATGTTCTGCCGCTGTGCAGAGGCTCCCCTGCCTGGAGTCTCAGGCACCCCTGGCTGAAGGGAGGCTGTGCCGCGGTGATCCCGCTGGAGAGACTACGAGCAGCGCCGGTGCCCCGCAGCGCTGGTGCTTCCTGTCAGAGGCGCTCGGACCCACGGCGCGGTGGTGGCAATGTGGCGGCGCTCTTCCCGGGACGCCAGACACGTTTGCCTCTGGGGGGGTCACGCGTCAGATGTGTTGCGGTAGCGCGATGGACAGTCTGCCCCCGTGTCTCCCTCTCGACGGTGCCCGCGCTGCCCGGCACAGGGGCCGCTGGCCTCGCGGGGGTGGAGGACCCTGGCCCTCCGTCCGCACCTGTGTTGTGTCCCCGCGTGGTGCCCGCACAGGGAGCACAGCTGCCGCCGTGTCGCGGGCTCGCTGGGAACACAGGGCACGGACTCGGCTGCTCTCAGGCTGTGCGAGGACCCGGGAGCCCCGGCAGGAACTGTTCTCCAGGGGAACGGTGGAGGCTGTCCCGCGTGTGTGTGATTTCCCCGTGAGCTGTGCGCACGCGACGCGCAGACCGGGGTGTCCGCTGACTCTGATCACCGATCAATGAACGTGAGCTTTTCGCAGCTTCTGGAAACGTGTAGCAGCCGCATGTGGAACTGATTTCCAAATACACTGAGCAAAACCACTTTGGACGTGTGTACAGTTTGTGACTGAAACGCTGGCCCCCGACACAAAGCGTTTTTGGGTGGTTGGGCTCTGGGGACGCGGCTGCTGCTTTGCGTACTGAGCTTTTAGCCACTTCCCAGGGCTTGCTCTCAGGTACGGGAGAACCGTGTGTGTCCGCCAGGGCTCTGGGGAGGGGCTTTGGAGATCCTAGAAACAGGTGGTTCTGTGAGTCAGAAGCTGGAACGCTTCAGCTTTCCCCCAAGTGCCTTGCTTTGCTCCGTGCGCTGATGCCGGGACGGTGCTGCGTGTGAGCTGCTCGGGGTCCCTTCCCACAAGGGCAGGACTATTTTGTTCAAGGGGCAGAGGGGACGGGACTGGGGGGGCTGGGGCCGGGGTCCTCCTGGAGGAACCTCGTTAGCACTGCGCTGGGGTGCCGGCACTGTTCTCACTGACAGTCTGCTTTGGGATTCTGGGTTTTAGAAGAAGTTTGCCGCTGCCTGTTTTTGTAGGACCTGTGAGCTCGGAATGGCTTTTATGTTTCTATGTGGTTGAAAACAAGAAAAATAGTATTTCACGGCGTGTGAAAATCATGTGCAATTCAAATTCCAGCTTCCTTAAATAACATTTTACTGGGACACAGCCGGCCCGCTCGTTAGGTCTCCGTCTGTGTTGGCTCCAGCCGCAGAGCGGCCCGGGTGCACAGACGCCACATGGCCCACAGAGTCCGCGTATTTATGATCTAGCTCTCACGGACGACTTTGTCGATTCTTTAAAATCCCTTTTAAATCTGTGTAGTTTTAAAGCGAACTGGTTCATTTTTTAAGAAATGGAACAAATCCTGTTCTTCTGTGTTCGTGTTGACATTCTTTCTCACTAAACATTTATTGCGCTCCCCTTGGGAAGGTGTCTTGGAAACAGGGTCAGGTTGGGAGGGGTCCCCAGGTCGCCGGGTCAGAGCTGGAGGGTGTGTGACACAGGTCCCCGGCACCTGACGGGGAGACTCCGATGTGCCTGCCTGTCTGAGGCCGTGCCGGGCAGCCGGGCAGGATCAGGATGGAGCTGGGGGACCGCGGCCGTTACCGTCTGTCCCGTGGTTGCTTTCAAAATGCTTTGATTCTTGTCACGGTCACACGTGACCGAGACCGAACTCTCCTGGCCAGCTGATTGGGACGGACACCTGCTCTGCGCCCTTCTCCCCCGACCCCATTCCTTCTCCCAGCTGCTGCTTTCAGCTCATTTCTCGTGTTCAACTTGCCGCAGCCCATGTCCTCTGCGAGCCCGAGCGCTGCCGACAGCAGTGATCGCGCAGGCGATGGGTCGCGCTCCGTTGGCGCACACGGGTGTCTCTGTCCCCCGTCTGTCCCAGCACACGCAGACTCAGGCTCTGGCCGGGGTGGGGGGGTGGAAGGAGGCAGCACGGGGCCCCTTCTGCCGCAGCAGCGTCCCCGGGGGCTGCACCCATTTGGGGCAGAAGTGGTCTCCTGGTCCCGAAACCCTGCCGACACCTCTGGAACGAGGCCCTCTGTAAGGTGAGGGAGCCGTGTTCCCGGGAACCCTGCTGGTAGCTAACTAGTCTGCACCCGGGCCCCAGCTGCTGCGGGCGTTTCTCTGTTGGTCAGTCTGAGCTGCCACCGTGGTGGCCGCCTGCGGTGTTGGGGGGTGTCTGGTTCCGCCTGCGGGCCTGCTGTGGGGGCCGGGGACCGAGCTTCCGCACACACCTCTTTAATTGTGCTTACCTCCCATTTTCCGTTCTTTCTTAGTTTTTGTGTGTTTTACATTTTGGGGAGATTCCTTGGGTTTGTTCCAATTCATTTAGTTTAAAAGATTTTATTTTTAAGTGATCTCTGTGCTCAGCGTGGGGCTTGAACCTGAAACTCTGCGATGAAGAGTCACACGCTCTACCGACCGAGCTAGCCAGGCGCCCCCAGCTCGTTTACGGATTTAAAAAGTCTGGTCGTCATGGGGCGTTTGGGTGGCTCCCTCCGTTGGTTAAGCCTCTGACTCTTGATTTTGGCTCCTGTCATGATCTCCGCGCCGTGAGATCGATCCCCGTGTTGGGCTCTGTGCTCAGCGGTGAGTCTGTTTGGGATTCTCTCCCCCATGTCCCTGGGCCCCTGGAACTGCAGGTGTACACACGCTTGCTCTCTTCCTCTAAAATAAATGAATAAAAGCTTTTAAAGAAAATTGGGTCGTCATGTTACTTAATGCTCAGCACTTTCTGGTCCGTGTGCCTTCTGATTTGGCTCCAGCCGGAGGTTCCCATAGAACATGCCCCAGATGGTCCCCGGCTGAACGCACGCGTGTGCCGGGCCCACCAGACACAGCCGAGGGCCACCCCCGACCCAGGCCGGACCAGCAGACAGCTTGCCTTGTCTTGCTTCAGGGGTCCTGGCCCAGCCCTTCTGGTGACCATGCCCTGCCCCGTGGCATCGGGTCATGGATGGTTCGCGCGCTCCCTGCTGCGCAGCGTTCCCCAGCGGCGCATCCGTTCTGCCAGCGCGGCTTTGGATAGCGTCCAGATTCTGGCTGCGATGAACGTCCTGGTCCTCGTCGCTGGGAACCTACGTGTACGCCTGGGCTGGGTGTGTGCGTAGGACCCGTCGGCTCGCAGTTCAGCACATGTTCGGCCTCGACGGTCCCTGCCTGGCCTTGTTGCTTACCCTGCCCCCACCCCTGCGGACTGTCAAATTCCGTGTGTTCTCGGCCCTCAGCGTTTGGGTTGTGACGGTGTTCGGTTCTGCAGAGGCACCGGCTCGGGTGTTGTGGCCCAGGTGTGGGAGCCGGTGAAGCTGCTGCCTCGTGTCCGGACTTGAACTTGGTCTTGGTCTCGGCGAGGGTACCTGCTAGAAACACTGGGCTCCCGCGCTCCGGGGCTGCCGGCCACAGGCGATGAGGACACTCGACCCGCCTGTGAAGGGGCCGACGGGACCACGGAATCAAGGCCTCTCGCCGGGAGCCGGCCCGCCCGGTGGCCCGAGTGGCCGTTCCAGAGGCGCCGTGCCCTGATGCTGCTGCGTTCTGGTGACGCCGTCGCCCGACTCTGCGTGCTGACCCGTACTTTCCTAACTTCCCTCGTGATTTCTTGGGTCCATTGGTCATTTGGAAGTGTCCTTTTGTTGTCAGACGTTGGAGTTTTTGATCTCTTGTTGTTTGGATTTCTTGCTGTAATTCCGCTTCCGCTGTGGTCTCGGTGTACTTGGATTTCGTTCCCTTTACAGCCGTTGAGCCCCCGGTGCCGTACGGGCCGCTGGTTCTCGCTCGCTGCATGACTGACGAGAGCGCGTGTCCGTGGTGTCGCCGGAGGGCCGGCGCTCCGGTGGCGTGGCTGTGCCCGGCTGCTGATGGCCTTGGCTGTCCTCCGCTGGAAGAGCCCTGGCCTCGCTTCCGCGTCTGTCGCTTACTGAAATCCGTCATTCAGCGTGGGCGTGTCGGGTTTTCTGCGTCCTGGGCTTCGCCTGATCTGTTTAAAAATTCTGACATTCCTCCTCACCGAGGACTGTGGCGTCGTCTTACTGGGTGACCCCGTCCCGTTTATGAGACGTCCCTTTCCGTCCCTGGGGTGTCTCGTCCTCAGGTGCGGAGACCGATGCTCACACGGACGCTGCCCGTTTCCTCAGCGAGTGTTGTCGGCGCCTCTTCCCTCAGATGTGCGGGTTTATATTTCAGGTGGGTTTGTTGGGGCGCCTGGTGCTCGGCCGGTTAAGCGTGTGACTTCCGCTCAGGTCGTGATCCCAGGGTGCTGGATCGAGCCCCGCGTCGGAAGTCTGCTTGCCCCTCCCTCCCCTCCCCCTGCTCATGCTCTTTCTCTGTCTTGCTCACACACACTCTTCAAAATAAATAAATAAAATCTTTAAAAAAAAATAAAGTCGATTTGTTGCAGATGTTTTTATGTGCAAAATACTGGATTTGAGCGCAAATACGACTTGAGCCACGTAAGTAATTTAGAAATTTCCAGTAGTCACCCTGAAAAGTTTCTAAAAAGCAGGTGAAATTAATTTTGAGAATACGGTTTATTTCACCGAGCACAGCAAAAATACCTCCGCGTAGGCTCTGTGTGGTTACTCCTGAATTACCTTATTTTCTGTTTTTAATCCTCCTTGTTGGCCGTCTCGTGTGTATGTCACAGTCCAGCGCTCCTCCAGCCGTGGTGAGCCGCGTCCCCATGCCGTGCGGTGCCCGCATGGCCGGTGTGTTCCAAGGGGACGTGGGCCGTTGATGTCTAGTTAACCTTCACTGCCGTGGGGTCTGCTGCCATCCTGTCACCTGGTGCCCCTTGTCCCGAGCGTTTTGTCCCCTTCCCTCTTTCCCAGCTTCCCTGGGTATGAGTGGAATCGTTCTTTAACGTCCCGCTACTGTTCTCTTGGGTTTCTTAGCCGTCGGTCGGTTTTCTCCTTCCAGTCAGTAATGTGGGCACGTGCAGCTCCCACTTCCCACGGCCTTCCAGGGGCCCTGGGCCGCCTGCGCGGAGCGGGGAGCCTCTTGATACACTCTCTGCGCCGCGTTCCCCTCCTGCTCTCACGCTGTCGTGGTTGTGCGGCGGGCTCACTGGCCAGGGTGGTGCTCGGCCGGCGTCCGGGCCCCAGAGCAGGGACACCCGCCCCCGACCGAGGAGGGGCTCCTGGGCCCCGGCTGCCCAGACGGTGTGCTCCGTGCCCTTTGGGACGGCCCAGGTGTGCAGCACCTGCTTCCCTCCGGTGGTCTGGAGTTTTCGCACGTGGCGGCCGGAGGCCCAGTGAAGACGCCGGGCACCGGGTCTCAGGCGTGTCTCTGGCTGTGACCCTTTACGCCTTCCACCTGTCTCTTGGCACGAAATGCATCCTGTGTCCCCGGAAAAGGACCCTCGTCAGCGGTGCTGCATGTCCCTGGACTTCATCTCATGCAGCTTTTCTCTGTGCTGACGGTGCTCTGTGTCCTTTCTCTGGTCAGTCCCAGCCACGAGTGTGATGACGGGCGGGGCCCGGGGTCCTTCCGGGGAATCCCCAAACCGGGAGGTGTCTTAGGGACCCTGAGAGCATCGTCACACACTCGCTCCAGGTGTAAAGTCTGCAGTACGTTCTAATTGTTTCTGCTCCGTCCCTGTCCCCTACGGCAGGTGGTCTCACGGGCAACTGTTTAATTGAGGTGATTGAAATTAAGTGAGACTTGAAATTCCCTTCGTCGGCCGCACCAGCTGGGCTCCTGTGCTCGGCAGCCCCGTGCGGCGGGGCCCACCACGCAGGGCAGCCCGGGGAGGGCGTTGGTCCCGCTGCAGGGAGTGCGGCTGGACGGCAGTGTCGTGTCAGCCCCGCTGCGGTTTCCAGTGCCCTTCGTGGCTTTGTGCTGGTCCATGTCACGCAGCTCGCCAGCTGAGGAGTCCTAGAAAACCCAAAACCCACCTCTGTCTCACCACTTTATTTTTATTTTTTTTACTCGAGAGAGCACGCGGGAGCATGAGCAGGGGGAGGCACGGGGGGGAAGCAGACTCCCTGTAGAGCAGAGAGCCCGATGCGGGACTTGATCCCAGGACCCTGAGACCATGACCCGAGCCGGAGGCAGCTGCCCAACCCACTGAGCCACCCAGGCGTCCCCTCACCTCACCTCAGCTCTAGAAATCTTTTTATTTTGAGATAATTGTGCCTTAACATGCCATTGTTAGATTAAAAAATCCAGGAGGGCCATCTTCTGTCCCCGTTTCTCCCAGTTGAGGCCCAGCCAGGCGGCGGCCGTGGACACGGCCTCACATCTCCACTCGGGTTTCCTGGGTCCTGCACGTGCCCCTCTGTGCGCAGCGGACGCGCTCTACGGTGTTCCCGCACGTGGCGGTTCGTGTGCTCACCACGGTGGGGGTACGGCAGCGACGTTCCCATCCCCCAGGTCCCCCGCGCTGCTCCCTGTCTCCATCGCGCCCCCTGCCTGCCCTGCCCCACTGGGCAGTCCTCCGTGTCCGTCATCCAGTCTTTTCAGGGCCTGGATCAGGGTGGGACCGTACAGCGCACGAGCTTCTGTGATCGGCGTCTGTCCGTGCGGTTCCCTGAGGCTCATGCAGGGCGCGGGTTCCATGGGCCGTCGGTTCTCCCTCCGGGGGCTCCTGCGTGCCTGTGCCTGGCGGGGGCCTGTGGGCAGCAGGTGCTCCCCGCGCCCGTCTCCCGCAGAGCAGCTGTTTCCCCGCGGGGTCGTGTGAGCCTGTGAACGTGGGTCCGTTTCCCTGGGATGAACCCCAGAGTGGACCTGTGGCTTTGTCAGCACCACGCTGTGTCCCCGAGTGGCCGCACCGTTTGGCGTCCCTCCCGCCTGTGTGCGGCTGACCCAGTTTCTCTGCTTCCCCAGCGTTGGGCGTGTCCCCGTTTTTAATTTTAGCTGACGGCGTGTTGTGTCACCTCACCGTGGTTCTAATTTTCATGTCCCCGGTGGCGGCGGTGCCAGCCATCTGTGGACGAGTTCGGGTGTCCTTTGGGCATCCTCAGGGCGACATCTGTTCGCGGTGCGTGTCATTTTCTTGCTCTTTCTTTTTTTAAATGTTTAATTTAAATTCTGTTGAGTTACTCACTTTGGGGTAGAGTTTCGTGATTCATCAGCCCCACATAACACGCGGCGCTCATTCCATCGCGGTCCCTCCTTACCGTCCTCTGCTGTCATTTTCTTGCTGAGTTGTGCAAGTCTGTTAGTGTAAAGGTCTTTGCCGGATACATGGTTTGCCAACGTCCTCCGCGCCGTGAGATTGGCCTTTCCATCTTCCGCAGGGCGAACACAAGGAAATCTGCTGGGCCCCATTTGTCTGGTTTTCCTTTGGTGGACGGTGTGTTTGTCAGCAAGTCCGACTCTGCTGAGACTTAGATCCTACAAGCTTTCTCCTAGGAATCTTCTAGAAGTCTTGTGATT